CAAGAAGTGTCTGTGACAAAAGAAAAAAAAAGAAACAAGCCAGGCATCGTGGCTCACACCTGTAATCCCAGCACTTGGGAGGCTGAGGCAGGAGGATCGCTGTGAGTTAGAGACCAGCCTGGGCTACATAGTGAGTTCCAGGTCAGCCTCAACTACATAGTGAGACCCTGTCTCAAAAAGAAAAAAAAAAAAAAGAAACAAAGTCTTTGTAAGTGAGGAGGAGCAGAAGGGTTGAAGGAAGAATAGGGGAATTGGGGGAAAAATAAGAACCAAGATATGTCATGTATAGGTACAAATTCCCAATGATGAATGTTATATTGTACACCTAAAATGTACCAATAAACTATAATTAAATTTTTTTAAAAGGACAGAACTGAAATGTTGCTACTACCCTTTTCCAAGATATATAAACTACAGTAATAGATAAAGAGATCCATACATATGTAATGATCTGTTGTCACTGGGTTTCCAAAGCTGGTATAAGGAGCCTAACTCACCTCACCCTAGAATAGGTTTGCACATTCCCCATCACAGCAAAAGAATTTTCAGGACTAGTCAATGAGAGGCACAGGAAGGTTTTTATGAGGCAGAAATTAAAAGGCACACACTCAAAGGAATGGAGTATAGGCACTCAAGAGGGTCACCTTGTTTCCCAGAATGGGGGACATTTATACTTCCCTTGGGAGGGTGTAAACCCCAGTAAAAAGCGGCTTACACCCCAGGATACTAGCCATTTTACAACTATTGGCCCAGTATTTTTTTTTTAATGTGGATCATTTAAGCATTCTCTAAATTCTCTCAAACTATTTCTTTATCTTAGGATCAGGTTCTTGTTCTTTAATTTTTAATTAAACCAATTTATGGGCTTTCCGTATTCCTGAGGAATTTTGGGTGTGATGGATCTAGAAGGAGAAGAGCATAAATTTAACCAAGGGGATGTTGATTTGCTTGAGTGACTTTGACTGAGTCACAGAAGTTGGGCTCTTCTTAAAAGTAAAATATTTTTAGTTATGATTCCCTTGTCTCTTTTTTCCCATCTATTTTTATAGCCTACCTCTTTCCTTCCCCAGCCCAACTTTGATCCTATTGATTTGCAATGAAAATGCAAAAACAACTTGTATACTTTTATTTTCAAAAATGGTATCGGAACTAATGGGCATTAAAATACAAACTGTTTTTCTGAGTTCAAACTTAGCACATGATTTTTTAAAAAAAAAAGTTAACTCACTATAGTGGACCTAGAGAATATAGAAGAAAGTCTCTGTGTCTTGGACTAAGGAAAGATACTTAAAATACCCAAATTGTAATATATAAATGGAAAATGTATTACCTTGGACTTCATCAAAGTAAGATCTTTTGCTTATCCAAAGATATCATCAAAGAAAAAGTCAGAATAGGAAATATTTACACAATACATAACCCACAGAAGGGTTATTTTTATTTATACTGTATATAAAACTGTTAAACTTAATCATAAAAAAGAATCAACCCAATTAAAAATGTTTAACAAATATTTTACCAAATATATGTGATGGCCAAAAGAATATGAAACATTATTCAGAAATGGTACGCAATAGTGAAATGTAATTTAAAACTACATTTAGGTAACACCACATACCTAGTAGTATAGCTAAAATTCATACACACACACAAAACTCTGAACATAAGTATTCTCATGGGTGTAGATAAATAAACTCTTAAACTCTATTAAAAGGAATATAGTAATACAATCCACTTTGAAAACTAATTTAGTAGGTTCTTAAAATTTTAAGTCCTATCATAGGATCTAGCTGTTTCACTCCTAGGAATTTAGCCAAGAGGAGTGAAAGCCTGTGTCTACACAGACTTTTATATGAGTGTGCGTGTCAGGATTACTCGTAATAGCAACATATAAAATAACCCAAATGACTGTCAACAAGGAACAAATAATATATTCCATGTGGTGGAACACCATTCAGCAATACAAAGTAACCAGCTGTTCAAACATACAACAGCATGGGTAGCAAAATAACTATGCCAGGAAGGACATCAGGCCCAAGAAAGTATTTCCCCTTACATGAAATTCTGAACATACTAACTAATCTAAATGACAGTCAATTAGAGGTTACCTAGTGTAGGGAAGAGATATTCTGGAGGTCACAAATTACCTTTCATGGATGATGTTTTCACAAAGAATGTGTACATGTAAAAGTTTAATGAATTGGGTACAGCCATACCCACCTGTAATCACAAATGAGGGAGCTGATGTAGGAAGATCACAAACTTTAGCCACCCTGGACAATTTAGCAATACCTTGTCTCAAAAAATAAAGAGGATTGGGAATGTAGTTCAGTGATAAAGTGCTTGCCTAGGTTCAACCCCTAGTATGGCCAGAAAAACTTAATGATGTGTGTGTGGGGGGGGTGTATTTTTTTTTTTCTTTGTACTGCAGATTGAACTTGGGACCTTACCCTTGCAAGGCAGGTGGCAGAGCCACTGAGCTAAATCCTAGGCCCTGAAATTGTATATTTTTAAAATGTGTGATTCATTATCATTGCACTTCTAATTAAAGTTATCTTTAAAACTATATGCAGGGCTGGGATTGTAGCTCAGCAGTGAAGTACTTGCACAGTGTTGTATAGGCCCTGACTTGAATCCCCAGCACTGCAAACAAAATAAAAATAAATACTAAAGACCTCTCTCCCATACTGAAAAATAAGTAGGATAATATCTAAAACTGAAAAATCAAGAAAATATTGGTAATCAGTTTAGAGATATCAAATTTAAATGCCAAAATAATCTGGTAAAAATTGACTTTTCTAAAAAAAAATCCAGATTACTTGGTATGGAATAGAATGAATATAAAATACTTCCATTTTTATTAAAAAGCCATTTAGAAGTTTCCTCTTTAGAGTATATGCAGGTATAACTTTGATAAAAAATAAATGTTGTATTTAAAAATATATAAGGAAAAGAAAGGGCCTAATCATAGCACAGGTCTACAGTGGATCATTTATTTGTGAAATTAATTTACCAAAGTGAGAATGGGGTTGACTTTAATTTATTCAGATTAAGTATTAAGTGTGGTTGAATTTCATTTGATAATTGAGTGTTTTCTTCTTTGCCTTGCTGTTACAGAGCTGGTAGAGTGGTTAAAAACCCAAAATATTTATCCTGAAAAGCAGAACAAAACGATTCCCTTCTTTTATAACTTGTTTTCTAAAGATCAATTAAGCTTCTGTGAAGTTATTTTCTGTACTTTATTGATTCAGGATTACTTGTACTCTGTAAATGTGTTGAATTATTTACACATCATGGGCAGCTAATGCTAATCCAGAACATACCCAGTGGGACCTCAGTGCCCTGAAATGCTAAATGTAATCTGGGGATCAGTAACATTCCATTCATAAAATGTGTCACCCACAGGTTAATGGAAATAAACAATAGGAAAGACAATGGATGGATTATGCAAATACACTGAAAAGATTAAGCAGGGGAGGGAACTACAAGAACCCAATTTGTGTTTTATTTAAAGGTGGATTAAGTGTTATAGTATACAGAATGATTAAAGCTATTTTGTTAATTTGCTAATGCTCTAAAATGTACCACTACACAAAGACAATTCTATTAAAATAAATTAGTTGTGGCCTTTGTAGATGGACAAATAATAGGTTAAGTAAGGTAAGTTTTTAACAGTAATTAAAATGATAAATACAACATTCTAAAGAAAATGGTTAATTAAATTTATGCAGCACTCATTTGCATTTATCTGTAATTAGCAAAATTTTAATGAAACTAAAACCCAATTCTGACATAAATTCCATTACTGCTTTGTTTTAAAAAGAAGGAAAGGGAAAAAGACAATTTTTTTTTCTTTGAAATGTGGTCTCATAAAATATGTCAATTACTTTTTCCTGGAAACCTCTTCAAATGGCCATATGTCTGAGAAAGTATGTCTACTAAATCCCTGAATAATGAGAAAAAGGCACAGAGATGAATAAACTTCCATCCACATTATTACTCTGCAGGTTTCTAAATCAGAGCAAGGAGGCAGCAGGACAGCACAAGGGCCTGGCCTGTAGACTTGATTCTGGGGAGGTAGCTGCAGACCTGCAAGAGAGTACGCTGCTGCACTGGGCTATGGAGTAAGGACTTCCTCCAGCAGGGACTTCTCTACCCAATGCTCTCCATGTGGAAATGACCATAAGGAAGGGCTGTAAAGAGCCCCAGACTTGTTACCTTCGTGTGACAACTAACTTTGGAAGGAGCCGAGTGACTCTCTGAGCCTCCTCTGTCCTTGGTTTCATAACATCCCCATTGCCTATCCTCGAGTGGCTATGTAGTTAAAATATATGTGACCAAGTACCTTTACATGATATATCAAGATCCCGTTGATAAATGTAACTGTATTTTTTAATGTACCAATAAACTTTAAAAAATAATAATAATAAAAATAAAAATAAAATAAATAAAATATATGTGACCAAAAATAATTGGGGCAAGTAACTGCAAATAAAGGGAAATTCAAGTGTACAGGGGGACAGAAGTATTAGACACCATGGTAGCCAGGAAAGTGCAGCACTGTTTGGGTCCTTGAAGCTCGTGTCTATCATATGTTGCATCTCAGTCCCATGTAAATATAGGAGATGGGAGTCAACATTTCATTTTCTTATGCAGTTTGAATAGCCACAAACCTTAAATACGAAACAATTAGGTAATGCTTATTAATTATCTCTTCATATGTGACCCTTAAGATTCTTTTTCAACTGTATTCTTGTAGTACATGCATTATTAAAACATTAGAAACTTTTCTTCATCCCCATTGATACCTTTATTGCTTAAAGTTTTGAAATCATAGGGGAAGGTGAACTTTGGCAGATAAAATAACCCTGGATGTGCTGATGCTATGTTAACCTCTTTGCATGGTGCTTCACCATGAAACAGAAGTAACAGAAGTGGGAATCATTTAGCTCTTGGCTTTTAAATGTTTGACCTTTTTGTGCCTTCTTTTGTTTTTAAAGATATTGTTTTCCCTTTGGACGACCTGAAGGTGCTCTAAAAGCTACACTTTCATTACTTGAAAGGGTATGTATAGTTCTCAATCACTAGCCATTTTAGTTATTGAACTAGCCAGCGTCTCATTCCTCAGTCTGAACTCTCCTGAGTCTGTTGCGTTTAACAAATTGGTCATCTTTTCTCACTGTATTCATCTCCTCTCTCTATGGTTTCTTCCTCCTGGCAGCCCCTCTGCTGTCATGTTTGCTTGATACCATGGCTTTTTTTTTAATACCCATTTTCCTCCTCTTTTTTCTCTCATCAGATAATCTTTTTTGCAGTTAATAATCTCTGTTTTTCAGACTTGCCAGTGATTTTTTTTAACCTCCTCTACTTTATTTGTACTTCTGCTTGTCACGATCCTCATGCCTATAGGAGTTTACTATTGAATACGCATAGAGGTACCATTCCATTCATTCAGAATTCATCTCATAATTTATTTCTATCACTCCAGTTTGTGTATTACCGTAAATGAATTAAAAAATTATAGAAATGTACTTCAATCACAAAATTAATAACAAAGTAAAGCCTATGCTAAAAAATAGTTTTAAATGAAAGTATGTATTTCTTTTTTGTGACAGTTGAGGCTTGAAAGGGAAATATCTTTTTCACCTGTCTATAAATCTATTCATATGCTGGTTGGATGCTATTGGTTATGTAATGTTCACTCCTGTTAACATCAAAATTTTTTAAATCTACATATCCTCTATATAACTGATGATTCAGTTATCCTATTTTATTGACTTGTTCTTGTCTATTTTTCTGCCAAATTTTTAGAGATTACCATGTTTACTAGTATTTGTATTAAAAACAGAAAGGAAAAACACTATTGAGGCATCACAGATCCATTTTAGTGATTTAAGAGATTGGAGATGAGGTTTAGAGCTGGTGATTTAAATGAAATCTTCAGATTATAGATAGATTTCATGTATATATCTCTACCTTATCCCTGATTACTGTGCATTGTGTGACAGAAACGTTATTGTAAAAATTATTTTGTGTTAGAATTTTCATATTAAAAGCTGCATGAAACCCAGGCTTTTCAAAGTATTCCTTTCCTTCTGTTTGTTAAGGTATCATGAATAAAATTACATCCTCAAACATTGCTCTACTTTTTGGAACTGCAGCCCATCGTGGGTAACAAGTGCAGCTCCTCTGTTCCTGTTTCCATGGCAGAGCCTCCCTCCTCCTCTCAGCAGGGGAGAGTTAGTAATAGCAGAGATGCCCTTGTGCCCTGCATTGACAGGTGGCAGGATGAACAGTGACCTTTATTCCAGTTATAGTCATTAATCACATCTCTTGCTGAACTGAGAGTGAGATGTTCAGGGATATTTCTTCATTTTTTATATTGCTTTACTTAGTAACAACTTAGAAAAACAAAATCTGCATGTGAATTGTTAATAGCTCCGACACTTTAGAAGAACATGAGAGGAGATTTGAAGCACAGGTTGGTATCTACTTTTATTTGCATTTGCCAGCCATTTATGTGCACTTTGTTGAGAAAGGGATTCAGTCCTCCCCTCCCTGTTTCAAATTAAGTGTGCATCTCTCAGATAATATGAAATATTACTGTTTTAAACCCGCGACGGCAGACCTTTTGGAGACCTCGTGCCAAACTGCAACCTAAAGCCCACTTATTTATTGCAAAGTCCAGACACTGCAAATAAACCTGAATACCGTGTTTTTTAAGTTTAGAAAAAAAGCAGCTCGATAATTAATATCTTTTTGTCTTAAAAATGCAATAACACATGTGCCATAGATTCGCCCCTACTGCCCTGGACTGACCTATGTGGGGGACATACATATCCTACTTTCCAACGGCTGTTTCTGTATTTAAAGTTTATCACCATGGGAAGCCTAATGGTAAAGTTCGTAATTCTGCATATGGAATGAAATTAATCTTAATATTAAATTTTACCAGTCAGTGCATATAATAGTACTGTTCAAGGCTTACAACTATTTACTATGCACGAAGAGATATTAAGATATTTTTGAAAGTATTTTTTAAATAAGATTGCTGATTTCAAAAAAAGGAAATCTTTCTTAAAAATTCAAAAATGTCAAAGATCAATGATGTTTGGAAAAATTAGACATTATAAATCCTTTATGGATGTGAGTGACTGAAAAAAGAATGAAATAATGAATTAATGTTCTCCTGTTATTTCAGTATTTCTTCTCCAATAAAAGTGTATAGAATAGTTACAGCACTTCCAAGAGTCTTATCTTGTTTGTATTAACATTTGACCATACATTTCATCATTTGAATGTAAATAAAGCAAGAAAAACTGCATATGGAAAAACAGACTTTGATTAATGGTAAAAGCAAACGTTACTTGTGAGAAATTTTATCGCTAAGAAAACTTTCAAAGCACTATTATAAAAGTGTTTAAAATTACATGACATTTGGAATTTTGGATATAATTTTATTTGTCCCTTTCCAATAATAAATCTTTGTTAGGAGCAATCCAAAAACATTTTAGGAACACAAGAGAGAATAATAAGGTTTTTTTAAAAAAACTGCAAAATTTTTCTGTGTATTTTAGCATTTGGTAATCTAGAAGCAATCATTTCCATAAGACAAAGAAGTTTCCTTCCCTCCTCCTTTAATAGTTTGTCATGGTATGTTCATCAGGTCACAGTCATTATAGTTTAATTAATGATAGTAGAGCTCTTATGCCATTCTTAATGGAATTTTTCTTGTTTTTAAATATATATTGTTCAAAAGATCTAGGCCTCTTAAATTAGGGATGTGTAAAGCAAACTTTGTTATTTGCCACAGAAACTGTAATTCTGATCTGAAACAGCTGCTCTAATGGTGTCATGGGTCCCGTGAGGAAAAGTGACAGTTGCACTGAGTAGTGGCCTTACCAATGGGAGGTTTCGATGTGCAGAAACGGGGTTTAGACAGGAGGAACCAAGATTGGAGGATTAGATTCCCAGTTGTGAAGTGCCGGCTCATTACTTCTCCTCAAGTTACTGAGGACCCCTTCCCCCTTTCTAGGAATAGTCAAGGCTAGGACCGTGTGTGTAATTTGTTTTTTAGCATTTGTTTTATATAACATCTCTCTCTCTCTCTCCCTCCCTCTCTTCCCCCTCCTAATCCCTCCCTCTTTCTCCTTCCCTCTCTTTTTCTCTCTCTCTGTCTCTCTCTCTCTCTGTGTCTCTCTCTCCCTCCTCCCCCCCTCTCTCTCTTCCCATCTTTCCTCTCTTGGTAGGTTTTAATGAAAGATATTGCCACTCCCATCCCAGCAGAAGAGGTGAAGAAAGTGGTCAGAAAATGTCTTGAAAAAGCTGCCTTGATCAATTACACTAGACTCACAGAATATGCCAAAATAGAAGGTCAGTGCAGTGAGCAATTGCCGAAGTGGCAGTGAGAGCCAACAATGCCTATTAACTGAATTTTCTATGAGAAGTCTTTCCCTTTCCTGAACAATCCTGTACCATAGCAAAGGGAAATGTCTCATTAAAATCTCAGCTGGTGAACTGAAGAGCTTTTTCCTATTCATTGCTTTAATATGCCTCCTGGGACTCTGCTTGAATGAAAGACCCAGGATTCGTGCTTAAGTTGTTCTTTGTTCTTATTTTGAGTTTTCAAGAAACCAAAAGGTGTTTTCACTGGTTGTATTTTTTGACATTACTGTAAGTATGTCTAACATTTAAACTATGGCTTGTGGATTCTTTTCTGATCAGTATCAGTATAGTATTATATAATTCTATTTTCTGTTCTGCAGTGTAATTCAGAGAAGGAAGAAACTTGATTATAATAAGAACTTAAGTTTGGGTAGAACATCCTGCAGCTTTTAATTGCTTGCAATATATTGATGCGTTTGAAAGATTAGATCTCTTGAGAGGACTGTACACTTTTTTCTTCTTCGGGTTTTATTCATTAAGGAGACTGGTGTTTACAATGTTTAAAGATAAATAGATTATAATTTGTGGCAAAAGCACAAAATCAGCTATCCTCTATCAATACTTTGATTTACAATAGAAAATGCATCAAATTCTTTGCTCAGATTACTGTAAAACTGGTTTATGTAATATGTATAGCATTATTAGAGAGTAGGAAAAAGTTTACAGTTGATGTTAAATCCTTATACCTGAATATAAGAAAATCATTCATTAGAAAAAATTTAACAACTTTTAATATAAAATTGTACATAATTAATTGTAAATTTATGAATTATTTGATGTTAGGATAGTTTTATCAAGATTCAACCATTGCAAAAGACTGGCTATAATTGGTTATGCTATCATTCCTTTTTTCTTTCCAAATCTGGTCAAGTACTCTAACAAGCATGTGATAACCAACCTCCTGAGTGATTAACAAAAAAGCCATCTCATCACTATAGCAACCAATATTATATCACGAGAGTAACAACACGAAACCTCCTTAGTTACCAGTTTAACATCATTAATTATGATATCATGTCGTGTTAAAGCAAGAGCAATGAGCATTAGATCATTTGAGGAAAGTGGAAGATAAACACACTGGTTTTTACTTTTGAATACTCATTCAGATAATTTTCATGTTTGGGAGTATTGAGTGTTCTGAGCACAAATTGAAAAAACAGATATAAAAATAGACTTTTAGAGCCTTTCAAATTTGTCAAAGAGAAAAAAGTTTGTGGACACCTTCAGCAGGCACAGTATTATCTTACATAAATGTTATGAACAATATTCAAAAAGCTGTAGGTACCTTTTGTTAACTGTCTCCTAGTATTTTTGTCATTACCGCAAATAAGAATATAGAAAAGATAATGCAGTACATTTTTCTGTGTATCTCTGTATTTTATAGTTATAGTAATCACTTAAAAATGTATAAAGAAAAAATTTTCTTTGTACATATAAAAACAAATCTGTGTTAGGAAAAAGACTATAGCAGGACCAAATGGTGAGTGAACAGGAATCATGCCTACCATTTCCCTTCCTGAAATTACCCCTTACTTATCTCAGGTCTGCTGTGACAATAGTCTAGGAAATATCTTGACAATCCACTCAAACACTGCAACCACATTACTTCCTTTCAAAAAAGCAAAATGCTTGCTCGTTAGCTGGAAATATTATAATTTTTCACTGTCTACTTTTCCCCTCCTTTTTTCATCTTTATAAAAAGTATTTTGGTTTTATGTTCAGGATCAGAGCAAGAACCAAATAAAATATAAGTTAGAAATAGGAAAGTAGGCTACTTTTCTTTGTATGTTTGGCTTTCTGCATTTTGTAAGCAACACAAGTAGACTTTGCTTTTCTTCTAAATTCTCTTTTCTTATGTTTTAGGCCCAGCAGAAAAGGAAACAGGTAATTAATGTTTCTGCATGCATGTGCCATTTTTTTCTAAGCTCTTGGTGTGATTTTTAAACCACTTTATGGAAGTATTATTGACATACAAAAAGCTGTACATATTTATACAGCTGTGTAGTTTAGAGATTAAAGTATACAGCTGTAAAACCATCACCAAAATCTGGACTACAAACCGGACACTTCTAGAAGGTTCTTCCTACCTTCATTTATTAATATGATTTTGTGATAAAAATACCTAACATGGCATCTACCCTCTTAGCAATTTTTGAGTATACAAAGCAATAGTGCTAACTATAGATATCTAGTATGTAATATATCTGTGAGACTTTTTCATCTGCATAACTGAAACTTTGTACCCTGTGATTAATACTTTGTCATTTTCCCTCTCCCTGGCCTTTGGCAATCATCATTCCACTTTCAGTTCTATGATCTTGATTATTGTAGATTCCTTGTATAAGTGCTATCATGTAGCATTTATCTTGCACTGGTCTTACTTTGCTTAGCATAATATTCTCCAGGTTCATTTGTGTCCCATATGGCAAAATTTCCTTTTCTAGTATTTGGTAACGTTCCATTTCATGTATATGTCTTATTTTCCTTATTCATTCGAACATCTATGGGCATTTGGGTAGTATTCATGTCATGACTGTAAATAATGCTGCAGTGAACATGGGAGTATAGCTATCTCTTTGAGATCCTGATTTGTATTTCTTTGGATATATACCAGAATAAATCCTAAACCCTAAAATCCTATGGTAGCTCCAAATCTGATGGTAGTATATGCTGTTTTACATAGTGGCTGCTGCAAATTATGTTCCCATCAACAGTTCATGAAAGGTTTTCTTTACATCCTAACACTTGGTATATTTGGGGACTTTGTTTGTTTATATTTTGATAGTAGTCAACCTAACAGGTGTGAGGTAATATTTTATGGTATTTTTTATTTTTATTGCCCTGAAGATTAGTGATACTGAGCATTTTTCATATACCTTTTGTTCATTTGTATGTCCTCTTGTGAAATGTTTCAGTTTCGTTGGCATTTAAATTGGTTTTCTTCTCCTATTAAATTGTGTGAGTTCAGTATATATTTCAGATGTTAATCCTTTGTCAGGTACATAGTTTGCAAATATTTTCTCTATTCTATGGATTGCCTTCATTTTATTTTTATATTATTTATTGGCAGTGTGATATTTGGTATTGGAGAATAGCTCTCTCCTTTTCAAAACACTTTTTAGATCATTTCAGAATACTGACAAAGCTAGGACTTTTTCCAAACTGTTGCTAATGCTTTGTAGGGAAAGCATTGGCTTTTATACCTATAAAAGTTTAGTAATATTTTATATTTAAAGCAAGAAACACTATGTCAATGTTATCATTGTGTTTTAAGCATGGACATTAACCTTATTTGGAAGTGGTTGTCAATATTTGAAGGGCTTTTAGAGCTACAAGATCATCTTCCTTTATCACTCTAGAAAAATAATATGAGAATAAAAAGCCTAAATGCCATTTGGTGAAAGTAAACAGTTCTTAACTTTGAAGGTTGTTAATCATAGGATTGAGCAGAGGTTATGAAAGCCCTTTCTAAAGAAATTGCTAGGAAATAGGTTTTCTCTGAGACTGCAAAATTTTAAAGGTTTTACTGGTGTTCTTATACCCCTTATTACAAATGTAATTGACTTCATGTCCCATTTTCTGCTCATCCTATCCTCCTCCTTTCTAGCCTCTTTCAGGCAGGCACCTTGTAGCCTTTTGTTCCTGTTTATCCCATCACCCAGCTGTGCCTGCTGCCACAGAGCAGTCTCTCAGAACTTTGGTAAGAGGCAAGAGGCTACTTAGTTCCATCTGAAACAATGGAGCAAGAAACAAGTGATGAACATTTTGAGTCCTAGCTTCCTTTGGCTATTTGCATGCAAAGGTATAAACAAATTTGCTTGGGTTGTTTTTTATTGGTCTTCTACAAAGTGCTCTCTTTCTTTTTCTTGACAATACCTTTTCTATTATTACCCAGTATTTGACACTAGAAAGTGACAGAAACAAAACACTCAGAAAGAGAAAGAAGATGTTTTACAATGATTGCAAAGTACACATTAGCAAAAAAGACATTAGAAAAATAATGAGACTATTATTAATTCTGCTTACAACAGCACATTGCAACAACCACAGAGCCACACTTTTAACAAAACTTTTCCAAAATATTTTCTGACATTTTATTCCCCAGAACATTGCTGCTCTGCGAATAGTTTTTGTCCTAGTTTGCAAACAAGAAGTCTGGGAGTGGCTGTGACTTGCCTACTTTCATAGAGTAAATAAGTCAGCCAACTAAAACTAGACTTCAATGTCCTAGTCCCTAGTCTATGGGGCTACACTTTTTCCCCTATGAAATAGAAAGGGTTACAATGTAAATTCCCAAAGCATGGCTGGAAGTTCACTGTGAAGTTTCCCCATTCGGTTAAATGGAGGAGGGAAGAGGAAAGTGTACTTCCCCACAAACCTGGCTCCCACTGTTTGGAAGTTTCTCCTGCATTTCTATTTAACATCTGTATCACTGTTCTTTTGTGTAGGTCAGCGACTCTAGGAATAATATTTTTATGAAATTGAGGTGCTTATATAGAAAAGAGAAAAGGATTAATCTTTTGATTAAGTATACTGAAGGAAAAACTGATCTCAGCTGAAGAATGTTCTAAGTAACAGGAGCTTTTAAGAAATATAGGTATTTCCCTTTAGTTGTATTTAGTAGCAAACAATTAACCAAACAATAGAATGATTTTAAGCGGGTAAAAATGAGAACATAAATCATCTCTAAGAGCTCAAATGCTGCATGGTTCTTCCAAACAGTAGTGTCTTGAACATATATACTATTTAGTAAAGGGCAAAATACTGCCTGTGTATCCCAGAGACTTATACTGATAACACTGTTGTATTAGCTCCTTGGACAATTTTATAAAGTACCTATTTTGCAGAAGACATAACTGAGGCTTTAGGAAAGCATTACTTCCTTGTATGAAGTTGTGCTGTTGTCATTAAAATTCAGAAGATGTGGGATTCGTACCTGTGTCTCCCAGATCCAAGCACTTGCTTCCTACTACCCACCGACAGCTGCATCTCCAATACTGTCTGACTCGACGTAATGGCATTTTATTATGAATAATTTAGCCACCTTACAAAAACCAAGGGTGAATATTTATAGAACTACTTTTTCCAAAAAGAATGACAAGTTTTTTTTTCTTTTCATTTTTTGGGGTTTGTTGTTATTGTTGTTGTTGTTTGAGACAGGTTCTCACTATGTAGCTGAGACTGACCTGGAACTCACTATGTAGCTCAGGCTGGTCTCGAACTCACAGTGATCCTTTTGCCTCAGCCTCCTGAGTGCTAGGATTACAGGCGTGCGCCACCATGCCTGGCAACAGTTACTTAATAATAAGAGCAAACACCGCTGTGGCTGACACTATTCTTAATACTTTCTGTATATCAGCTCAGTTGCTCCTTACAACCCTTTCAAATACATGTTATCATTATTTTATCCCTTTTTTTCCAGAAACCTGAGAAAGACAGTTTATATAACTTGCTTACACTCCATAGCTGGTAAGCAAGAGATTATTCAATATTACTCAATATTAATCTATGATATCTTCTTCTGTCTTTCTCTTTCTTGAAAATCTGGTACAGTTAAATTTGCACTTAGTTAAAAATCATTTTCTTTTTCCCCATAGATCTCATGATGACGAGCGTTGAAAGGGATTACAGTTTGCACACTCCCTCCCAACCCAGACCACACAATATGGTTCATTCATCCTACACACCATCCTAGAATGTCTGCTCCCTGAGGACAGGGGATTTTCTGTTTTGAGAATTGCTATATCCACAGTGTGGATAAAAAGTACCTGGAATGTGTTTGGTACTAGATAAATATTAATTGAATATGCATGAGAGTTTACAGCACAGACACTTAGCAGGCTACTTTCAGCAAAACAGCCATAAACTGTCTTGCAGAAGGTCCTTGGAACCAATCTCTGAGTAAAATACAGGGCTAAGGCTAACCACTTAAAAATGACAAGACTGGGAAAATGAACCAGAGTTTCATGCCCTCATTACAGAATGGAAAAGCAAAAGCAGTGAGGCACTAACTTGGTTCGGAGAAGCCAGAGTTTATAGATAGCAATTGCATTCACAGTGCTGAGTAATATAACCTGTTTTCATTGTTTTCTAATGCAGTGTACTGCTCAATTTGCTTCTATCCTTGAGAATTTTCTTGATTCTCCATTGTTAGAATAAAGATTTTAAATTTTGGTAATGAATTAAATGAAACAAATGACCCCTTTCTAAATATCTTCTTTCCTTCTTGAGAGTTATTTGCATGTTTCACGAGAACTGGTAGTTCATTTTGAGAATTTGGAACTTCTAGAAAACAATCTTTTTTAAAAAATTCAGGAGTTATAAAATACACTTTGGTTGAATTTGCTTTTTTATAAGAAATCTTTGAGTTACACTGTTGCAAAATCAACTAGTTTTTTTCTTCCTTTGGTGTAATTTTTATCACTAACTATACTAGTTAAGTAGTAGTAAAATAACTTGGAAACCTCAGTTTCCTAATCATGATTTTAATTTAAATTGCATGCCTTGCTGATGCAAATTAGACATTATTTTTAAAGCAAAATCAATTTGCTCTTTGGTTCAAAGACTTCCTTAAGATGAGAATAGAAATAATACATCTAATAAAAGAGTCCTTGCTTTCTGCAGGACACTATGTATCATACTGTAACTTACTTAAGATTTAAAAACAAGGAAGCGCTCCTTAGAACTGGCCTTGACATGGGATCTTTTGCAAAGACTTGGTACCCAGGTTTCTTTTGAATCTCAAATGTGGAGGTGCCCTGAATGAAAAGCAACGTGAAACAAATAGGTGATGTCTTTGTGCCGTGAGGATCTTTCTCAGGCCTCTATTGACAGGCTCCTAGTTCTATCCCCCAGCACACTCATTTTCCAAGTCTCAGTTGAAT